TTTTCAAGCGAATTTCGCTTATTTAACGGCAGGACTATGAATATTTATATCGTCATTTTCTTCGGACTCGCTGTCGTTCGCTTCCCCCACCCTTCGACTAAGTGACTTTTGACAATATTTCTTATACACTTAACATGCTTCCATAAATAAAATATTTTCACCTGTACTTCATTTTGTACTTTTAAATAAAATAAGATAGAAAACAATACATGAAAATTTATTATACCTAGACAAAGCGAAAAGTGAATCAAAAATGAAATGATTTAAAAAATATTTTGTTCAAAATGGGCGCCTCCGGACTGTAGACAAGCACGACATCTTCTAATTATGGAGGTAGTGGCCGATCGGTACTGAATTGGAGTTAGGAAAAAAGTGAATATACACTTTTAGTCAATAACATACTGTTCTATATAAAATCAGCATAATTTTTTATTTTCAGTAGGGCCGTATTAATTTTTTTATAATTTAATGAGTCTGAGTCCCCATAACTCCGCCACTGGTTGCTTGCGGGACTTCTACTTTTATGGAAAAATGGTATCTTATAAGATGTGTCATGCCAAATTTGGCTTAAATAGCCTTCTTCATTTAGAAGTTATTTAAAAAAATCGATTTCTTTTTTAAATCTTTAACGCCCTATATTTCGAAAATGAAGCGTCTCTGGAAAAAAATTTATACATGATTTTTTTCTAATTTTTTTATGGGGAATATCTCCTTAAAGTTTGTCGACTTGATCCTGAAACACCCTGTTATAACTATATCACGCTCGTGCGTCGTATATTTCATTTTGCAACAAAGGCTAAAAAATAAAAAAAAATCCAGGTTGAAAATTTGAAATTTAAAAAAAATGATAGATTTCAATGTATTATTATGAAAAAAATCAGTGCGATTGTGGAAGATCCTCGGGATCATCCAGACTATAATTAGTTAATTTGTTTATAAGGCCATAACTTGTAAACTATACAACTTACCGATTCCAGATTTCATGTGAGTTATTAGACAGTGGTAAGGAATGAGAGAATACGATGCCAAAACGTTCTGGTAATAATAACGCAGTTCATAAATGTTTAATTCAAAAGTCATAAATAAACTTGTTCTGTTTATAACTTTTGATCTAATCAATATTTTTTGACACTCGAGGGCAAGTTTTATAGGTCTTTTGAAGACGAAAAAAAAGAACTTTACTGTTTTCTCGTGGAAATGAACGAAAAAAAGTTATAAGCAAAAAACGCAAATTTACGTAAAAATTATACAATTAACAACCCTGTAAACAATCTTCCCCCCATTTTTATGACTGTGGAAAGTAATATGTTATTGTACATAATATTTAGCATCTATAGTGATAAATTCAGCTTGCCGAAACAAAAAGTCGCGAAATGGTCATTTCCTAGCTTATTTTCCTGGCCTAAGCGTATGATATTTTAATGATTGTATTTATACATCTTGAGCTACATTTGTTTTTCACTTAATAAAAATTTTATAATAAATCTTTTAATTACGTAACATAGAAAGGAAATAACCGGTGGTCGATTACTTATATTAAAGATGTTAAGAGACAGGCGTAGGATTTTATGTACACTATATATTTTTGAAATATCAGAGCTAAAATAATTATTGAACAGTTTTTGAAATAACAAATAGCGAACACAATTATCTTGAAAAATAAACATCTTTACAAAAAATTTGAGCCAACCTCAGCAAAATAAACTTCTGCTTTGTTGAAGGGTATACTTTAGTGAGGTTGAGACATTGTTTTGTTTCCTTTTCCATGAATCCTTTGTAAAAAGTAAAATATAACTCTCAAACTGCAACGTTTTTGCAAAGTATAATCCTGTGTGTTTTTATGCTTACCCAACTATTTCACAACAAAAATTGTCAGCGAAACGGTTGCCTTTAAACTTGATATTCAAATGCTATTATCAGATATTTATATGGACACAAACACAGTCTTCGAAGTCCGAAGTCAACATGTAATCTAATTCACTATAAACCTTAATTTATATCTGCTACTGGAATTATAGCAGTCATTTGAAAATTAAAAATATTTCGTTTGATATTTTAAAATTTCAATTTGCAAAGTAGAATGTGCTTATGCGATATATTTTATCTTAAGTCATTTTACTAATAGTGTATTATGGACACTCAGACGTTTTTCAAAATATTTATACAAGTGTGTAAAAATTTGTTTTTCATTACACTTCCACGAATGGAAAAAGTGAACTTGACTGACATGAGCTGTGTAGATACCGTATTTTCTTCCACCATCGAATCTATTTTAAATTAAAAATATTGCATTTTTCACAGTAGGTATGGACTAGTATGGGATAATTTCCAACGGGACCAAATTTGAGCAATAGCACAAAGTATTTGAGGTCAAAAGCTCAGTAGTGAGTAAGTTACATAAAAACAATGTCTGCACATCATAATTATAAAGTTTTCTTATTATAAATCTTTCGAAGGAATTTGTTACCGAAAATGTACCCATTTAGATTTTTCATCGCAGTACAGTACAAATTTAGCGAAAAGTTCAACTTAAATTAGATTGGCATGCTTTCCAAACCTCAGCTATCTGTAACTATCTGTAACTAACAACAGTTGAAAACTGAATTATATTTTTCCCTGCAATAGTGTATTTTAACAGAACACAAGTACATTCCGTACGATATTTGTTAAGATAGAATTCCAAGAAGACCCCTGCACCACTTTATTGGAATTAACCGCATTCGACGCCCGAGGTAGAAATATAGTGGCGGCATGGCGGCAGTTTTGCAGTTACGAAGGCGTGTTTCTTCGTAATTGTATCGTCCTGTGCATGTTCTGTGTCATTTATTATTAAAATAAATCAATAGAGGTGAAAAATAGAAGAAAGAAATTTAATGCGCAATCGAAGAATATCGTGTTTAACGTGTATAATTATTGTAAGACAATTTTTCCAAATGAAAATAAAATACAATTATAAAACCATGTTATAGCTGCTACAGGAGTAGCTTTAACTACTATACGGAGAATCTTAGGTGACTTACAAGCTCTAAACAATGGTGAAAGTGAAGTAAAATTTAGTTCCGGATACGGCCACGACTACATGATTATGAGAAGTGGCTTACAAAGAAGTTTATTCCAAATCTCCACCTGAAATGTGTTGTTGTAACTGATAATGATCCATATCATATTGTATAAGTACAGAAAGTACCTACCTGTAGCTCAAGAAATACATATATGGTAGATTTGTTAATAAGTAAGTTATACCTTTTTCGCCGAATTTATTTAAGCCACAGGTGTAGGAAATTATTAAACATAATAAAAACACAACATATTGTTTACGAATTCGATTGTCTACTCCAAGAAAACGATATGGGCCCAAGTTAAAAACAACGTAGCAAAGGAAATCGTTTTATTTAAATTAGAAGCTATGAAAATTCAGAATTATTTTCATGAGGCTGGAAGAAATGTTGCCAACATGTTGTTAATGTTGATGATAATTACTTGCAAAACGAGATTTGAGTTGACTAGATTATAACAGCTTCTGATAGTGAAAGTTCTAGTGATGAACATGATTTCAAAAATTTATCAGATTAGGGAATGTAGTAGGTTACTTATACCTACAGTGTGTCCACGGATGGAGTTGGCAAGAGGAGAAACTTTTTTGTTTTTGACTGCATACACGTTTCTTTGTTTATTCCTTTTTTTTGTACCAGCCAGTTTATAGTTGTATTATCTTCTAGTTTGTTTATGATTTATACTCTACTGTATTATAAAAGAAATAAAAGTTCATTTTAATTCAAAAAATATATTTTGTATATATTTACCTTAGGTATACATATATATTTTATTATTCTGAAATGCGGAAATTTCAAGGCACGCCTCCGCTGCAGTAAACTATTACAGAACTTTATTGGTTTATTCTTTTCTTGGAATTCTATCTCAATAGATATTATAAGGACTGTATAACGGTTTTACTGCAGTACAACGTAATTTCAAGAAACATCACTGTTTGTTTAAAATCTGTACCAACGAAAATGTATACCTATGGCAAAAGCAAGACAGTTCTAGGTATTCTTAGCAACCTTTATATTTTAGTTAAGAAATAAGCTAATGTTTATCCTTGACTCAAAAAACCTTTCTATACAAAATTTCATTGAAATAGAGCCGAAATTATATTAAAAAAAGTTAAGGTCCGTAACACTTCGGGTAGTAAAATGTTACTAAGGTAAAGCGTTGATATACCTTAAAAAAATTGAGTAAATTTCACTTTAGAAAAATAAATCTTATATTGATAACATTAAAAATTTTGTGTTGACTTACTAAACTATGTGTGTTATATTGGTAAAGTTATAGTAATTAAAATAATTTTTTTACAACTAAGTAAATGTATTTATTGTCTGGCAGCAGAGTTCAAACTGTGCCTCGGTATCTACTTGTACAGAACTTTGGGGTCCTTCTATTCAGAAATGCGGAATATTAGCAACGAATTTTTACACATTTTGTTCTCAGTCTCACTCATTTTAACTCTTGTAACTAAAAATTGTGTTGATAAGCTCATTTCTTTGTTAGAATATTAAATCCACTCAAAATTTAACACCAGTGGCGGTACCTCTCGTACATATCACTAAATGTGAATAAAGTTTAAAGTCGTTTGCACGGTTTTTGTCATTATTTTAGACTGACTCTTCCCTTTTTCAAGCCAAACCGCGATAGGGCTTGAGTGGTGCGATATTTATTGAGTTCTGCCAGCATTATCGCGAGATGCGTACAAATAGTCACGTATAGCTCCTAACAAGCAAATAATTACCACAAAAACGAGCCATCCAGCTACCGATTCGCCTGGAAACCTCACGGTATATTAGGGTGGATCGGTAGCCGGCCTCTTATCAACCACCGCGGCCTATCGTCCTTTCAGGTTTTTGTCGCGTCCCGCGCAATTGTCTGCATGCCGCTGTGCCTGCTATTAGCAATCAGTGGGATAACAACGAGGACAAATTAGTGTTTTTGTTCCTTTGTTCCAGACTTGTCCTCCCTTGCCGCCACGCATCCAGGCCCTCGCCCCAAAGGTACCTTCATCCTGTCAGACATCACGTGATTTATTGCATTTCACACTTTTCATTCATCTCCACAGACACACACACAGTATAATTATTGTTATCTCGTAGTTGTTTGTACCTAGTTGCTGCTTCAGTGCGCTGCAAAAACTGTTTATCGCATGCCGTATCCATCAAATGGCTAGGGTAGTGTTTGTCTTTGCCTCTAGAGGCCCTTCCGTTCGTTGGGCCTTTCGTCTAATGTGGACACCGAATCTCTTGTGACATCATTAATTATTTGAGTTGGACCGAAATTTGTTTTCCGGAAGTTATGTTTAGCTCAAATGTAATCTATAAAAAATTACGGTACCTAACAGTTGTTTAGGTGTAGAACTATATCCTTCCCATACTCCAGTTGAATTTGTGTTTGAACGTGAAAAAATTATTAGTAGACATTTTATTGCACTTTATGACAGGGATTGGTACGTAGAATGATAATATTAAAAAATGCAACTAGATAGAAGTGACGCTTAGTTGGCAAATTGCAAATAAGTGGCAAATTTACGTGCTTTTTCACTTTCTTTACTGCCCTCGAACATCTAGACGACCTGTCGGAAAATTAGTCATTTTATGTTGTAGACAATTAAATTACCTACAATTGAAGGTATCTAAAGTCATATTTCACCAATTTGTTAACTGTAAAATAAAGGCGGAATGCGGAAAAATCAGTTTTCGAAAATTGCTTATTGTTGCAAAAAGCGACGGAGGTTGATGAAAATTATGGAAAAGACGGACTAACATCTATGCTAAAACCCGATTCGATTGACTGTGAAATTGTTGCTCCAGCTATTTGTTAAATAAAGTTTTTTTGCAATTAATTGTTTAATTACTAAACGTTAATTTAATATCGCAGGTATATGTTCTAACCTTCGAGCATATACTCCTAGAAGCAGCCATCAGTGCTGAGAAAGCGCGACTGGTGTGCGAGAGAGAAAGGAGAAGAAAAGGACATGCTATCTCTCTCACTCCGCGGTCGGTGCGTGCTCCCCTCCATGCCAATGACCGTCCTGCTCCTAAGCCCTGACCAATCAGCTCGCGGAGCGAGAGAGATAGCATGTCTTTTTATTCTCATTTCTCTCTCGTACACCAGTCGCGCTTTCTCAGCACTGAAGGCTGCCTTTAGGAGTATATGCTCGAAGGTTCTAACTGATCCAAAGATATGTATCGAAAAAGAAAAATTACAAAAAGTTGAAATTAAGTAGCCCTTTACAACTAACAAAATAGGACGTGCAAAAGAGCGTTATAAATAAATTGTCCTAGGGTCTGGCAAAAGCCGACCGGAAATTCTCATTTTTGCATTAAATAGTGTATATTTTTACGGTAATTTTAAAAAAAAGACAAATCATCTACGTCTCTTTAATTGCCTACAACATAAAATAACTAATATTCGGATAGGTCGTCTAGATTTTCATGGAAAGTAAAAAAGTGAAAAAAAACACTTATTTGCAATTTTCCAAATTCGTGTCACTTTTTTCGAGTTACTTTTTGGATATTATCATTGTACAGGGTTAGTCACACATCTGACAACTTATTGTGAGTTTATTATTGAAATTATAAAAAAGTGTTTGCCTTTTTTATGAATTTTTATAATACAGTATTAGAAAAAACAATTGAACAATAGAAATCACTAAATTATATTTTTTAATGGAACACCCTATATATTAGGGCATACTTAGGTTTGTTAAATTTTTCTCTTTTCAAAAATATATAATATGTGAATTGATTCAAGACTTTTCGACATATTTCAGTTTGAGCGACGCTTTAGAGAAACAAAATCTCTTGCAAGACAGAAACGAAGAATTAGAACTAACTATATTACTGTATTTTCAAGATAAGCAAATATTAATTCGAGGTTTATCATGGTAAATTCAAATATCAAATTATTGTAGAAAGATCACAAGAGTCCACAGTAAATGCTTCAAGACAGTTAGAAATAAGCCAAAGTAAAATTATTAGAATGTTACATAAATATAAATATCACCCCCATAAAACTATACCGGTCTAAAAACTAATCCAAAATCAAAAAATTCAGCGATTAGAGAACTGCAGTGAAATGCTATGCTTGAAAATGGCGACCTCAACTATTTTGAAAAGATTTTATGAACTGATGAGACAACTTGTACAACAGCTGGCATTTATAATAGAAAAAATACTCATACCTGGGCAAATGAAAATCCTCACTGTAATAGGGAAATTCCAAGTCAAGGACGTACATCGTTTAATGTTTGGTGCGGTATATTGAGAAATAAAATCATTAGCCCACTATTTTATGAAGGTGCTTTGACAGGGAATAGACCTGCATTTTCTTGAAAATCAAATAGAAACAAATTGGAAAACCTGCCGCTGATCAACTATACCAATTTAATCTGGCACCAGGACGCCTCCGCATAGAACCAGAAATTATTTAAATAATAAGTTTGATTTGTGGATTGGTAATGGAGGAAATATTCAATGACCTTCAAATAGCCCAGATCTTACACCCTTGGATAGTTTTCTGTGGGGTCACTTAAAAAGCGAGGTTTATAAGGAAACTAGTGTACATTTAGATGAACATAAAGCTGATCAATATATACAAAATTTAAGTGAATTTAATTTCCATTTCATCCAAAATGAAGTTCTGAAACTTAATGAGGATTATACGAAGTGCATCAACAATGGCGGCCCCATTGAGCATCTGTGACCATTTGTGTTTTAGTTAGATTTTATTAATTAGGTATTAAAATTTTGTTTTATTATTATCATAAAATAAACCGATAACTGCAAATTTTTCACTAAACACTATTTCTTTGTTAAAATGGTTTGTTTTAGGAAATAAATTGATCATGATAAATAAACTCGTCCATAGCCACTGCGATCCGTCAGACATAAACCCTCCTGTTTTTTCAAAAATGGTTTTAAACTGAAATATGTCGAAAAGTCCTGAATCAAACAGTAACATATTATATATTTTTGAAAATAGAAAAATTTAGCGAAGCTAAGTATGCACTAATATATAGTATTCCATTTAAAAAAAAATGGTTTCGTTAATTTAGTGATTTCCATTATTCAATTGTTTTTTTCTAATACTGTATTATAAAAATTCATAAAAAAGCTAAAACTTCTGTATTAAAAACTCTTTTGTAATTTCAATAATAAACTCACAATAAGTTGCCAGATTATAGTGACTTACCCTGTACATACCCTTCCCCGTCATAAAGTGCAATAAAATGTCTACTAATAAGTTTTCAGGTTTTATGATCTAATTCGACTGGAGTACCAGGTGTATTTCAAAAAGCGTCGATTGTATTTCAAAAAGCATCGTATATATTTATCAGTTTCTTTTTAATAAACTTGGGAATTGTTATATTACAGAGTTATATGCCATTTGACATGAATGATGAAATACCTTAAAAATCGCTCATTCTGCGTTTCTAAAAAAAGTGATTAATGTTTAAATTTTTTTATTATGACCTTTATGAACTGTCATATTCGGGGAGTATAATGTAAAAAAAGAAATACCTGGAAAGGTTCATCATATTAATCTACGTAGTTTGAAAAACCAGTAATGTGAAACAGCGGGTGTAGGTAAATTGGTCTGGTTCTAATTGTGTTATAAGTAAATTTAAAAAATGCTTAATTTGACCCAAGCTGAGGTCTAATAGAAAATTTATTCTTTTTTTCTAGATGTAATTTATTTTTCCAAGAGCTAATATGAATTTTTATTAAAAATGGCAGTGTATTTACTCGATAAAATGAGTCATATTTGTTATATAAATTATTGTTTTGTGAAATAATTATGCACGTGTATAGTTACCAAAATTAATGGATAACTTTGTTTTCTACTTATGTAGGTTTAGCCTCTTTTTCTTTAGATCATGTGTTTTTATTGTACCAAAACTCTACTAAAACTTCTATTCTTTTATTTGTATGTTAATAAATTTTGCATATTTATTACTGTTAAATATAGTTCTGTCAGAAAAACTATAACGTTTTAAAAAGTCACTATTGCTATAATATATTGGTTTTATGAGAAATTATATAAATAAATGAACCTCACCACAGCATCTTTTGTTGTACATATACCGATTCAAAAAAAATTATGTATATTCAAAAATAAATCCAACTTAACCCAACTTAATTTACCTTCTACTAAGACAGTAACTGAAAAGAAAATCTATTAACTTGAAAGGCAATTTCATTCAACCTAACATAACCTTCAATAAGAAACTTATTGATCAGAAAAATCAAAAATATTAGAATAAATTAATTTTGATACTTATCAGTTCAAGAAAAAAATTGTATATATTATGCAAAAAAAATAAATCCAATGTTATATAACGTCCAATAGGACAGCGATAGAAAAGAAAAAATATATATTAAAAAAGTAAATATTAATTACTACAAAGTAAAAATAATTATAAATATATAAAAGTTACCTCTCATCTATTATCTCTCTATCTCCATTTTATCAACCCGATGTTTATAATTGTGACTACGTTAATTTGAAATCAAACATAACTCTAAAATATGTGACACTCTTTATAACTTTATTTCATACACTTTTCCTAAAAGATAATTACTGCGAATGAAGAACTCGTTTTAAAAATTCTGAGTTGCGACTGATATTTCGTTGCTTTTTTCATTTAAATGAGTATTTTTGCCACAATGAAAATAAATTTTAATGTTATAATACAATACATTCAATTTACTTACAAGTGGTTTCTTGTAAAATGTTGATATCTCCAAAGGATTTCAAGTTAATTCATTTGTTTCTCAAATATATTTGCTGAAATTTGAAATACTTGATACATTTTGCAATTAAAATTGACTGTGTGGATATATTATTCACGCTTTCTGAAATACAACTGATTGGTCTGAAATACAATTATTGACGCTTTTTGAAAAACGTCTAGAAAAGTGTACGCAAAAATTGTTTTTTACGTGCGTCGTGAAAATTACCAAACAATGCCGTTTCCTCTACAATCACTCAGTAT